AGCAGCTAACAACTGTCTGTAACTCCAGTTCCAGGGGAATCCCTCTTCTGACCTCTGTACTTAACACACATACAGACAATACACTCATACACATAAAATGAAAAAAAAGTTATTAAAGCAAATGAGTTTTAATATTTATTTTGGGAAAGTGCTTTCATATTTATTGATCCCATATTTAAATGTTTCTGACAGGTACCTCTTGCTGGGGCTACAGGGAAGCCCTGTCTCAAAAAGACCAAAAAAAATTAAATTAATAATATGTCATTCATTGACTTTAAAAAATAAGTAAAATAATGGGCTGGAGTGATGGCTCAGCGGTTAAGAGCACTGACTACTCTTGCAGAGGACCCGGCTTTAATTCCCAGCATCCACATGGCGGCTACGAACCGTCCTTAACTCCAGTTCCAGGGGAATCCGAAGCCCTCTTCTGACCTCCGCGGCACTGCACGACACGGGTGCACTCACATACATGCAGAAAATACACTCATAAACATAAAAATAAAAATAATAAATAAAATTTAAAAAACCAAATGGAATAAGTAGGAGGCCACTGTTCGGATTGAATTCCTTGTACTAAGTCTAAGAAGCCAGCAAGATGGAGTTAGTTACTCATGCTGAAATTCTACACCATCAAGCTAAACACAAGTTGTTTATCTGATATTCTGAGCAATCAGCAGAGTGAGAGATAATAGCCAAATCCCCAGCCAGCCCAGTGTTAGTAGTAAATCCCCTCTGTTTTGACTTCTAAGGAAAGTAACTTTCATACAACTTCTCTGGGTTTTATGTTTTTATCAGTGTTCCATAGACTGTTACAGTTTGAATCTGAAATATCTCCCAAGTGGGACTTGTTTGTTGAAGACTTGGTCCTTGCTGCAGAGGTTGGGGTTTTGAGGAAGCGACTGAATCATGAGTGCTCTGATCTCATCAATGGATTAATCAATCCTTTTCTGGGCTCTAACAAAATGGATTATCAGGGGCTGGCTCAACAAATAAAAGCAACTGACAACCTGGTTTGATCCCCAGGGCTCACACGGTGAAAGGAATCAACTCCTGTTAATTGTCCTTTGACCGTAAACACACACACACACACACACACACACACACACACACACACGCACGCACGCACTCACGCTCCCATAAATTTTATTTTTTTATATTTTAATAATTATTTTATGTATATGTGTATTGCCTGCCTGTATATAAGTGCACCCATGTACTGCAATGCCTGTGGAGGTCAGAAGAGGACATCAGATTCCCCTGGAATGGAGTTACAGACAGTTGTTAGCTGCCATGTGGGTGCTGGGAACTGAACCCAGGTCCTCTGCAAGAGCAGCCAATGCTCTTAACTGCTGAGCCATCTCTCCAGCTCCTGCATTATAAATTTAAAAAATGGATCATTGGAGGTGGTGGAAAGTGAGAGGTGTGCAGGAATTAGTTCACTGGTGTGCTCTTGAAGGCAGTATTTTGTCTTTTCCCTCTTTTTAAAATAGTTTGTGTCGGGCTAAGGCTGAGATCCTAGCAGACAGCCTGAGAGGGTTGGCTCCAACCTCCATCAGTGTAGCAGCTGTGATCTTAGCAGACTGCCAGAGAGTGCAGGGTTCTGGCCTCCCTCTGGCATAGGGGCTGAGAATGCAGGGGACTGACTGAGATCGGCCTGGATCCTGCCTCCACATGGTGAGACTTCTCTTATTACATTGGAAATAAAATCCCTCCCTTTAAAAAAAAAAAAATGTTTGAGTGCTTTGCCAGCACTTATGCGTACTATGTGCATGCAGTACCTGTGGAGGCCAGAAGAGGGTGTCAGATCTCTTGGAACTAGAGTTACAAATGGTGCCACCATGTGGGTGCTGGGAACTGAACTCAGGTTCTCTGCAAGAGTAGCCAGTACTCTTAACTTCTGAGCAAGCTCTCCAGCTAGCCCTCTTCCTTTTTTCTATCCTTGAGACAGTGTTCTGGAGCCCAGACTAGCCTGAGACTACTGCTCTTCCACCACTTCCCGAGTACTGGGCTTACAGCTGTCCTCTGTGCATGACATGGTCTTTGCCCGCTTGAACTCTCAACTGCTGTGATTACCTGCACAAGATCTGCATGATATTGTGTCCACTAACATTCTGTCACTGCGAGGAAGAGGAAATTCATGAGCTCCCACCCTTCGCTGAGGGCATACAGGGAGTTAATACTGTTTTTTTGTTTTTGTTTTTTGGTTTTTTTTTCCTTCAAGCTCTGTAAGCCCCAATGAAACTTATTGGCTCACCAAGCTACACGTGGGCGGGATTGTCTTTCTGTCACTAGTGGCTTGTCTGAGATGAGCATTTGTTCACCTCTTGGAAAAAGTTCACCTAACACTTGGTACCCAAATGTGGGATAGGACAGAAACAAAAATGGGTTTGGGAGGAGTCCTTGCATGATCTCTGTTGTGTGTGATGAGATGTAATGAGCTAAGCTGTCTGAGGCTGGTCCATCTGTAGGGAAAATTCCAATGTGGCGTCCTTCCCCGTGCGGTATGGGGTGACTTGAGTTCTTGCTCAATAGCAGTTGCACTGTCCCTGTTGGAAAGGCATGCAACTAAGGCTGCCTTACCTAAAGGTGAAGTATTCTTGGGAAGAATCCCAGGGTGGCTGTTGCCATCTTCCTCTGGTGATATGGTGTGACATATCTCCTTGTTGAATGGGGTGCACCCCGAAATGGCTGAGGGACTAGATCCCTGGAAGTAGCATTATGGGATGTGGCATCGGTCCCATAGTCCTTGCTGCGAGCACTAAGATAACCTTGAGCTGTCTGCCCAGAAAGAACTTGCCTGAATAAGGGAGGAATTAAGGTGAGAAAAATCCCCCAGATGCTCTTCTCTGCCCAAGTCTCTGAATGGACAGAAAAAAAGTGGGGAGAGAGAGAGAGAGAGGATGGAGATGTGTTGGTTGGTCATTTTTATGGCAGGGGAGGGGTATAAAGGACAGTACAAATGACACCTGTGCTAAATAGCCCCTCCTGGGATTCCCAAACCCAGAACCCTTGGGAAGAGTTGACAGAGCAGAGGGAAAGAGGGAGGTAGAAGTAATCAAAGCTGCTCCTCCAGCCGCTTTAATACAGAGGAAGGGGGCCAATGGGATGGCTGAGCAGGTAAAAGTGCTTGACAACCTGCGTTCTGTCCCTGGAATCCACAGTAGAGGGAGAGAGCCAACTCCTAGAAGTTATCCTCCAGCCTCATACCATGGGACTTGCACCCACACGAACTCACACATATCACACACACAAGTAATTTTTGTTGTTTTTTCTTTGAAATAGGGCCTCCCTGTAGCCCCAGCTGGCCTCGAACTCATTATGTAGACCAGGCTGGCCTCGAACTCAGAGATCTGCCTGCCTCTGCCTCCCAAGTGCTGGGACTACAGGCATGCACCACCACTCCCAGCACACAAATGTAATTTTTAAAGGTGCAAAAATGTGAACACAAAATCAAAGCACTGTTATTTTTCATGATTTGTACTACAAAGAAGAAATGAGAGACTAGGGCAACATTTTATTGCACTCCAGATATTGTTTTCTGGGCTTCACAGAGATTAAGCTGCTATCTGTTCAAGTCCATGAGGTAGGGCTATTTGCATCCTATTTCACAAATAAGCAAACTGAGGGACAGATGAAATCACCTGCCAACAACCACACAGCTGGGAGTGATGGGGTTCAGATTTCTCCACATGGATGTGCCTCCAGAATCAGCAGCCATCAACACCTGCCACAGTAGGTGCCTTTGAGTAGGATGGAAAATGACACATGTGCACATGCACACACTACCTGTTCATGCGTACAATATGTGTGGACGGAGACCTGGGAAACCAGTCAACACTGTTGGAATGTAGGAGAAAGATTTCCTTTCCACCGTATAATCTTTTATACCTGAGGTTTTAAAATAAGACTATTTTTATTTTGTATATATGAGTATTTATCTGTATGATGTATGTGCACCATGTATGTGCAGTGCCCATTGGGCAGGTGTTGGATCCCCTGAAACTGGAGTTACAGGTGGTTATGAGCTGCCATGTGGGTGCTAGGAATCAAACTTGGGTCCTGTATTAGCCAGGGTTCTCTAAAGGAACAGAACTGATAAAAATTTATATATATATATATATATGTATATATATTTGTGTGTGTATATAGATGGGAATTTATTAGATTGGCTTATAGGACAGAGTCTGAGTAGTCCAACAATGGTTGTCCCACACTGGATAGGATGAAAATCCAGTAGTTTCTCAATTCACAGGGCTGGATGCCTCAGCAGTCTCAATCTGGTGCTGAAGGCCAGGAAGATTCCTGGAAAGCGGCTGGTCTTCAGCCTACATTGGTTCTAATATCAGTGAAGGAATGCCACAGCAACAAGATAGATAAACTGGCCCATAAGAGAGAAGACAAGCAGGCAAAAAGCAGAAGCTCCCTTCTGCCATGTCCTCTTACACAGGCTGCCATGAGAAGGTGCTGTCCACATTTAGGGTGGCTCTTCTGGCTTCAAATAATCTGATCAAGAAAGTCTCTAGAATTTCAGTTAATTCCAGATCCAGCCAAGTTGACAACCAAGATTAGCTATCATAAATCCTCTGCAAGAGCAGCCAGTGCTCTTAACCACTGAGCCATCTCTCCAGCTCCCAGTATCTTCATATTGATTTAAAAATTGTACTTATGGGGCTGGAGAGATGGCTCAGCGGTTAAGAGCACTGACTGCTCTTGCAGAGGACCTGGGTTCAATTCCCAGCACCCACATGGCAGCGACGAACCGTCCTTAACTCCAGTTCCAGGGGAATCCGAAGCCCTCTTCTGACCTCTGGGGCATTGCACGACACGGGTGCACTCACATATATGCAGGCAATACACTCATACACATAAAATAAAAATATTTTTTAAAATTGTACTTATTATTGTGGTGTGTCTGTGTGCATGATGTGCGTGTGGGTGCACCTGTTGCGGTCAGGGGACTTTTTGTGACACCTAATAAGAGTTGGTTTTTCCTTCCACTGTGGGTTCCAAGGATGGAATTCAGGTAATCAGGCTTACACAGGAAGCACTTTTGCTTACTGAGCATCTTGCTAACCCAGATTTTTTTGGTCTTTTTGAGACAGGTTCTCCTTGTAGCCCCAGCTGGCCTGGAACTCAGAGAGCCATCTGCCTCTGCCTCCCAAGTGCTGGGATTAAAGGTATGTGCCACCATGCCTGGCAAACCCAGATTTTTTTTGTTTGTATTCATATGTATGCCTGTGCGTGTGTGCATGTGTGAAGGCCAGAGTTCAATGTTTGATGTTTTTCTCAATTACTTTCCACCTTATTGTTTGAGGCAGGGTCTCTCACTGAACTTGAGCTTCTTGATTCGCCTAGACTAGCCAGCCAATGAGCTCCAGGGATTTCTAGTGTCTGCCTCCCAGGACTGACATGACAGGTAAGTGCTGACACATAAGTGCTGGGGATCAAACTTGGATCTTCATGCCTAAGGAAAAATTTTAAATTATTTATTTGGTACTGGGGAACAGATAAAGCTAAGAACTTGCTATACCTCTGGGCTGCGTTCCTAGCTCCATTTGTAATTTTGTTTGGGTTTGTTGTTGTTGCTTGTTATTTGTTTGTTTCTAAGTTGCCCCAACTGGCCACAGGATTCTCCATCCTCCTGCTTCAGCCTCCACAGTGCCGGTATTATAAGTGTCTGTTATGCCCAGTTCTTCTGTGTGACTTTTTACCATGATTTGATACTGCTGAGCTATCCTTCCTTAAAATTCTCAGTACACTGACTGAAGCTTCTATTGTTTTCACTAGAAATGGTCATGTGTGACTGTGCTGCTTCAGGGTCTGTGGCAGCCAAGCCTTCAGTGGAGAGAGAGAGTCAGGGAACCTGGGGCCATGAGGCCCTCCATAACTATGGACAGTGTCATGCCTGGAGCTCACCCCGACTCTGCCAATGTGCAATGAAACTATGTTATTATTTCAGACAGTATCCATCATGGTTTTGCTACCTGCAGCCAGAATCCTTTCTAAGTGATATAAATGTATAAATGTACTAAGCCCAGGCCTGAGGGCCCTGTCACCTCCTGATGCCTACTCTGGAGTCCCTTTAGCCTTGCACCATATTCCTTTTCTTAGACATTTATTATTATTATCATTATTAATAACTCGCTCTTGCTATACATACCCTGACTGGCCTGGAACTCTCAAGCCTCCTGCCTCAGATTCCAGAGTGCTGGGATTAGAGGCATGTGCTACTGTTCCGGCTGACGTCATCTTCTGGGATAGTATTACCACGGTCATTATTTGGCAGACACGGTGACAGAGGCAGAGTAACTGTTCGAACACACAGGAGGACATGGCCCAGTTGCACGGTGGGCCCAAGCAGGCTGGTTCCAGAGCCCAAGGGAGGCCATGCAGTTAATGCTCACTACACAGGCACAGCACCACTGTGGTGATGTGCCGAAAGCAGTACCTGGCATGTCGCTCAGATCTGGACTGAAGTCCTGGGTCAGTGCCCTGCCTGCCAAACTGCTGAGGAAGATGCTGGCCCCTGGCTCACCCCACAGGTGCTATGCCCTGAAGACACCTGAGAAAAAAGGACAGAGTCCTCTTCTGACCAGTCCCCAGGTCTTAACTTAGTTCTTGTCCCTTCCTCTTGGACATTTCAGGGTCATTCCTCAGCCCTGAACACTCTGCCTCTCTCAGTGTCCATTTGGGACTGTCACTATCTAGGGACAGTTCAGTCTACCTCTCTGGTCTTTGAAGCCCATAAGAGCAGGGCCTAAGTCATCTCCACTATGACTGTGTCCCCAGTACAGGGACAGAAAAAGGGGGCAGCTTTGGGTGAGTTCATATATTCTTTGCATCTGAGAGTTGAGAATATCCAGGCTCAGAAAGGGGAAGTCACTGGGCCAAGATGGAGCTACTGACCTAGTAACTAAAATGAGGCCCAGGTGCTAAAATAAAAAGAAGCCAGGCATGATGGTACATGCCTTTAATCTCAGCACCTGGGAGACAGAGGCCAGGCTAGTCTACATAGCAAGTTTCAGGCCAACTAGGGCTGTATAGTGAGACCCTGTCTAAAAACAAAAAAAACACCAAAAGACAAACCACCACTATCAGCAAAAAACCCTGAAAGTCCAAGTGGCCAGACTAGGAGAGGAAATGAGAGAAAGGGAAGGAGGGGAACATGACTGTGTTGTTGATGAGGAACCAGGGATGTGGAAGCAGAGTGTTGGCCCCTCGCCTCCCAACAAAACAGGAGGCATGGTCACAGCAGTGCCTTGCACACACCTATCCATGGGCGTTCCTGGTCAGCTACCTGGGGATGGAGGCGTAATCAGCATGGGAGCTGGCAGAGAGGTGCTGGTGCAGTTCTGGCTGGGGGTCCAGAATGTCTGCCTGATCGTCCTCATTCTGGTTGAGGTTGGTGGGTTCCGGATTGGGCAGCAAGATGAGTTCCGTCAGGCCATGGAGGTCCGACACACGGCGGAAAGTTTGCAAGACCAGTACCATGCCAAGTAGGCCCAGGAAGAGGTATGCTGTAGACATGAAGAGGGGACGGTGGGTAGAGGGAGAGGTAATGGGTCAGCTCTGGGCTCAGGCCCTGGGCCCGGGACATGATTCTACAGGTACCTCTCCCCTGGGACAGTTGGGTTGCTTTTGGAACCCCCTCAGCACCCCCTAGGACAAGATCCCCCTCTGTCAACCAGCCACCCAGCTTACCTGTGACAAGTACCTTGTAGAGAGCCCGGTAAGGCTGACCAGGGGCTTCCCCAGGAACGTAGTCCCCCAAGCCAATGGTGGACAGAGAGATGAAACAGAAGTAGAAAGCATCCAGAAAGCTCCAGGCCTCCTCAAGGTAGGCAAAGACTGCAGCCGGTACCAGGAAGCAGACAATCAATATGACCACTAGTAGGGCCACCAGGTGCCAACGGGCTGCCTGTCGGGGGTGCCATCCCCAATGCAAGCTCAGCCAGGACAGGGGAGCGTGGGTGAGCAGCAGTGATAGGCGCTGGGCCGAGGCAGTCAGGAGCAACATGGTGATGGGCACTCCCAGGAGTGCGAAGGCGATGGAGAAGGCCTTGCCTGCATCTGTCAGTGGTGTCGTGTAGCCATAGCCTGTGGGGAGAGGGTAGTCCTCCTGAACATTGGGACCTCCACAGGGTGGGCTGTGCACACCCCAACATGTGGCCTGAGCTCCTCCTTCCCATCCATTGCTTTCCTATCCTTACTGTTCCAGGCGGTGACAGTTCTATCCACCTATGGCTCAAACCAAGAGCAGTGGTTTCCTTTAAAGCCCAGGTAAAGCCCCAAATAAACCTTCTGAACTCAACTCACTCATTGCTCTTGCTTTGAGTTACTTGGGGGCTTTTGTTTTTTGCTTTGGTTTTTTTTTTTTTTGGCTTCTTGAAACAAGGTCTCCCTGTAGCCCCAGCTGGCTTGGAACTTGCTATGTAGACCAGACTGGCCTCGATGTCACAGAGCTCCACCTGCCTCTACCTCCTGAGTGCTAGGATCACCAGACAGGGCTGAGTTACTTGTTTAAAAAAAAAATTTTTTTTTCCAGCTTGGTACATGATGGGCAAGCATTGTATTGTAGCGCGATGCCCCAGCCCTTCACTGGTGGATTCTAGACAGGAATTCCTCTGAGTCATGCTTCCAGCCAGCTACAAGGGCTGTATCCCTTGTATCCTCTTTCCCCAGTAGGATTGCTTCCCATCACCCATCCCAGGCGTCAGCTGCATCAAGACTTCCCAAATCAGCAACACACAAACACGAGAGAACAACACACACACACACACGAGAGAGAGAGAGAGAGAGAGAGAGAGAGAGAGAGAGAGAGAACACCTTGGGCTTATGATGAGTCAGTTCCATTTTTATAGGTACAGTCAGAGCTCCTAGCTTGATCCATAATAATGCTAACTGAGGTGCCATAAATATCAATTAGCCCTACCAGCTCTTCACATGGATAAATTCATGCTCCTTTACTACTGTAGTCTGGCTCCTCTGAGCCCCATTCTCTCTGAGGCCATCTTAGGGAAACCTTCACCTGCGATATCAGCTCAATCTCCATTCTCCACTCTGAGTATCTACTACACATCCTTGTCCTTGGACTTTAGTAAGTATAACTGTCCTTAGGGGCTGGAGAAGATGGCTCAGTGGTTAAGAGCACATACTGTTCTTGCAGAGGACCTGAGTTCGATTCCCAGTACCCATATCAGATGGCTCACAACCAGCTGTAACTCTAGCTCCTGGGGATCTGACTCCCTCTTCTGGCCTCCATAGGCATCAGGTGCACTTACATATATGCAGGCAAAACACTCATACACATAAAATAAATAGATCTGGGAAAAAAAAAAAACCTATATAAGTCTCCTAGGGAAGACAGTGAAATCTCAGCACTCAGGAAGCTAAGGCAGAAGGATTGGAAGTCTGAAGCTGGTATCAGATACAATGAAACTCCGAGTCAAATCTAGAAGACTCTTGTTGGTGTGGGTGTGGCCCAGTAGTTAGCACTTGTGGGCCTGTGGGTTTCATCCCCAGCATGAGAGAGGGAAAGACAGAGAGAACTTTTATAAGCCAAGTTTAGCAAGAATTCCTATATCCCTTATTGCTAAAAATCACATGTATTTTAATTACATTTATTTAGTTGGGGGGGCTGTAAGTATGTGGGTGTACATGTGCCGTGATGTGTATGTGGTAGTCAACTTGCAGGAGCCTGTTCTCACCTTCTGCCATGTGTGATCTGGAGATCAAGCTCAGGTCGTGAGACTTAATGGCAAGTGTCTTTATCGGCTGAGCCATTTCACCAGCCCTACATTTATTTATTCGTGTCTATGTGGTCATGGAGGTCAGATAACTTGAGGAAGTCGTTCTCTCCTTCCATTGCGTATGGGTTCCAGGGATTAAACTAAGGTCACTAGGCTGGGCAGCAAACCCCTTCCTTACCTGCTGGGCCATCTCACCAGCCCATCTATTTTTTTATGATTTGTTTTTTCTTCATTTGAGACAAGGTCTCACTATGTAGCTCTGGCTGGCTTGAAACTAGCTACATAGACCAGGCTGGCTTGGAACTCACAGAGCTCCATCTACCTCTACCTCCCAAGTGCTGGGATTAAAGGTGTGTGCCACTATACCTAATAATTTTTTTGAGTCAGGGTCTTGATGTGTTTCAAGCTGGCCTGGACTTCAATATTATAGCCCACAGTACACTGAAACTCAGGATCATCCTGCTCCACCTCTTTTTTTTCTTAATTTTTTTTTTTTTGGTCTTTTTGAGACAGGGTCTCCCTGTAGCCCCAGCTGTCCTGGAACTCACTATGTAGAACAGGCTAGCCTTGAACTCACAGAGATCCGCCTGCCTCTGCCTCCTGAGTGCTGGGATTAAAGGCGTGTGCGAGTTTATAGTTTATAAGGGAAAGTAAATATCAATAAATAGTCATTGATTAACAATGAGAAAATAGGAGCGATAGATTATACAAACTTTTCTGCAACTTTTTCTCAAATGACACTAGTCTAGTCCTCATATCTCTTAAGCTCTTCCTTTTTAAAATTTTAATGTGTATGTGTGTATTGCCTGCATGTTGGTAAGTTCATCCGTGTTATGCAATGCCCACAGAGGTCAGAAGAGGCTGTCAAATCCCCTGGGACTGGAGTTAAGGACAGTTGTTAACTGTCATGTGGGTACTGGGATTCGAACCCGGGTCTTCTGCAAGAACAACCAGTGTTCTTAACCACTGAGCCATCTCTCCAGCCCCACCTGCCTCACTTCTTAAGTGCTGGGGAAACAGGCATGCCATACCACACCCAGAACTTTTTTTTTGTAAACTTTTTATGAGCCTATATTAATTGTATCAACTAATGAGTTTCATTATGACATTTTCAAACATGTATACAATATACTTTTTTTCTTTCTGTTTCTGTTCAGGACTAGGTCTCATTTTGGAGCTTAGTCTGGTCTTGAGTTCATGGCAGTCCTCCTGCCTCAGAGACTGTGTGCTGATATTGCACCATGCTCAGCATTATACTGTCCTTTGACCACGCTCACTCCATATCCTGCCTTTCTCCCATCTCCCCTCCTGAGATACACACACACACACACACACACACACACACACACACACACACACACACCACCCTGCTCCTCACTAGTGAATTCTCAGTAGGAGCTCTACTACTGAGCCAACTACCCAGCTTCTCTGGTATTCTAGGCAGGTGCTCAACAACTGAGCCCCAGATCTTTTACTTCCTGTTTTGAGATAAGTTCTCACTAAGTTGCCCAGACAGTCCTTGAATTTGGGATCCTCCTGCCTTGGCCTCCTGATAGCTGGGCTTACAAGCCTATACCCTCAGGATTAGACACATCATCTTTTCTCATGCCAAACCATACAAGCCCCAAGACGGAACTTCCCTGTTCCCATTAACTGTTCTGGCTGGTTTTCAGTACCCAGACACAGAACTCTAGAAACTGACCTAAAATGACTCGGACAGCTTGATGGAACCAAAAGTCTTAGAGGAACAGAACAGGTCCTTGTGGACCTGGATTTGAAAGTAGGGGTGCTGTCCATAGTGGCAGAATGGATCAGAGCTATCTACAAGTTTCCTTGTTTTCTTGAGACCTCTGTACCCTGTGTAGATGGTTCCACCAAGACTCCTGGTTAGAATTTCTTTTGGTCCTTTTGAGATAAGGTCTCCCTGGAGCCCCAGCTGGCCTAGAACTCACTATGTAGACCAGGCTGGTCTTGAACTCACAGAGATCCACCTGCCTCTGAGTGCTGAGAACTTTTTATGTGCTGAGGAAACAGGCATGCACTAGGCCACTGGCCAGTCAGGGAGACAGATCTAAGCCACCTCCTTGCCAGCAGTCTTTAATAATGTTCTATCTTGCTGGGCGTGGTGGTGCACGCCTTTAATCCCAGTACCCTGGAAGTGGAGGCAGAGGCAGGTAGATCTCTGTGAGTTCCAGGCCAGCTTGGTCTCCATAGTGAATCCAGGCCAGCTGTGGCTACAGGGAGACCCTAGCTCATTTATTTATTTACTGTGTATATGTGTATGTGTGCATCTATATGTGTGGAAGTCAGAGGACAACTTGTAGGAGTCAGTCTCTCCTTCTACCGTGTGGGTCTTGGGCATTGACCTCAGGTCCTCAGGGTTGGTGACCAGCACCTTTACCTGCTGAGCCATCTCACCAGTCCTTGCTTTTTGAGGCAGTCTCATTCCTTATGCAGCCCTGGTTGGACTGGAACTGGCTATGTAGACCAGGATGGTCTTGAACTTATGGATAATCCTATTGCTTCTGCCTCTAGAGTGCTAGGATTACAAGTGTGTGTCACAGAACTCTGCATCTCCTAGCTGTGTGACTACAGGTAAGTTGACCAACTTCTCTGGGCCTTCATAGATAGATAGATGATAGCTAGATAGATGATAGATAGAGAGATAGACAGACAGACAGACAGATAGATAAATACCTCACAAGGCTGTTGTATTGACTGAGTTAAACCTGGATGTGGTGAATCCTCTGTCAGCCTGACTATGAAGTAGGGAGCTGTGATCTCACTTAATAGTTGAGGCAGGAACAGCTGCTGTGCTGCTGTGTCGGTCACCAAGCCAGGCTGTACTTGTCTCATGTCTGACTGCCATCACCCATCCCACCATCAGCACCAGGGTTGTCCTCTCAGAAGTGAGAATCTGAGAGACCAAGGGACACAAACAACTGAGACCAGGGGAAACCCAGAAGCAGGTCAGACCAGCCCAGGAAGCTTGGGGGAAAGTTAACCCCAGGGAAGATGGATTCATTCCCAGAAAAGTTACCCAGCAACTGCCAGTGACCTCCATTTGCTGGTCACACACAATTAGGGCACCAGATGGGAGACAACAGTCATCTACGCTACTCTGATGCTGCCAGCTGTGAGGCAGTTAAGGGTGTGGATCAGGGGCTGGAGAGATGGCTCAGCGGTTAAGAGCACTGGCTGCTCTTGCAGAAGATCTGGGTTCGATTCCTAGCACCCACATGGTGGCTCCCAACCATCTGTAACTGCATTTCCAGGGGGATCTGACACCTTCTTCTAGCTTCTGTTGGCATTACACACACTGCACTTATATACATGCAGGAAAAACACTCATACACATAAATTTTAAACATTTTTTAAAAAAGAGTGTGGTTCAACCTCCTCCCAGTTCCATGTCCCCAACAGAGACCACCTGACAGCTGGGGAGACCAGTAGACCCTGATCTCTAGGGATTTTCCAGGTCTGTGGTGTGAGAACAGAAGGGACTTCCCAGGGTTCTTAAAGGCTAGGGGTGGAGTGGGGAAGGTACAGGTGGTTCCTACCTGAATAGGGGCTCAGAAGGGGGTCTGCGGAGTCACAATATTTATGTGTGTGGTGTTTATTTTATTTGGAGCGGGGTGTATATGTGTGATGCATGCCTGTGTGTGCACATGTGTGAAAACATGGGCATGAGCATAGAGGCCAGGGGAGGATGTCTGGTGTCCTGCTTTAACACCCTTCACCTCATTCCCTTGAGACAGGGTATCTCACGGAACTAAAAGCTTGCTGATTCAGCTAGAAGCTCCCAGGATCTGACTGTGTCTGCCTGCCCTCCAACACTGGGGTTACAGGTATGCACAGACATGCTCACTTCTACATGGGTGCAGATTTGAACATATGCTTCCACTGAATCTTCTCCCTAGCTCTATTTTTTCTTTTTCTTTTAATCTTTTTTGAGATCGGGTCTCCCTGTAGCCCCAGCTGGCCTGGAACTCACTGTGTAGCCCAGTCTGGCCTTTAACTCACAGAGATCTGCCTGCCTCTGCCTCCAAGTGCTAGGATTAAGGCATGCCCAACTCCCTAGCCCCATTTTTATTTCATTCATGAGTTTAGGGGGGTTGTTTTAGTTTTGTGGGGGGTTTTTTAGTGCTGGTGATTGAACTCAGCACCTCACACATGCTAGGCAAGAGTTCCACTACTGAGTTATAGCCCAACCCTCACCTGGGAATTTAAAAAGATCCTCCCTCTAGGGGCCAGCATGGTGGTGCAAGCCCAGGCAGGTGGATCTCTGTGAGTTCAAGGCCAGCCTGGTCTACACAGCAAGCTCAGGTCGGCTGGGGCTGCAGGGGAAGCCTGTCTCAAAAAGACTGGGGAAAAAAAAAAATCCTCTTGGGAAGTCCTTGCTCTGGAAAGGGCTAGAGGTTTTGCTGGAGGTGATTTGAGGTAGGAGTCCTGGCTGGGCAGTCTGGGTTTGTCCCTTTCACACAGAGTTGTTGGAGCTGCTGATCCAGGAACCCCAGGTCTAGAGGGGAAAAATGTACCAGTTGGGAGAAAAGGCCTGAAATACAGGGGAATGGAGTGGAGGCCTGTGCTGGAGTCAGGGCTGGGGAATATGGGGCCAGGAGAGGGATGGGGTGTTTTTGGCCTGGGGCCCTTGCTGGAGAGTGCCCAGGTGGGAGAGAAACTCTGAAAGGGTCTCAGGTCCTGGAAGGCAACAGGCCTCTTGTAACAGCGTTGTGGGAATGAGTCCCTGAGAACAATCCCTGTCACTGCATCTTGGCTTTTGCTGGGGCACCAAGGTCAGGAGGAAACTGAGGTGGGGTGTTCCCGGAAAGACCTATCCAGAGTCAGGAGGGATGGCTTGAAGGGATGGTTCTATCAGCCCTAATGTGGACACAGCGCCTAGGGCCAGAGACCCAAGGATGGTAAGCGGGATAGTCCCAAGCCTTTGCTGATCTGGGATGACAATCCTCAACCTAGTTTAGAACAGAAGAGTTGGACATGGTAGCCCCGCATACAATCTCAGCACTTGGGAGGCTGAGGCAGTACCCTGTTCCAGGCCAGCCAGGGCTCCATAGATAGGTAGCTGTCTCAAGGATAAAACAAGATAAAGTACAGGATGGGGTCTCAGATGCTGGCTGGGAAGGAACCGTGAGGGAGTCCCTAGTCTACAGGGGCTGGGGTGTTTCCTGTTTAAGAGGAAGGGCTTGCATGAGGGCTCTCCAAAAGGGGCAGCCGTCCCCAGTGCGTGCCTGTTTCCTTCTTTGGGGGGGGGGGTTCTGAATGGATCCCAGGCCTGGGACAAGTGGGATGAAGGTGCATCTTGAGGGATGAGGATGCGGTGAGGGACTCGGGGAAGAAGGGGATAGTACTCACGTACCCACGGTGGTGACCAGCGTGCTGGCGAAGAAGAGCGCAGAAGCGAAGTCCCAGGCCGGGTCCGAGGCCTTGCCGGCTCCAGACCTGTTGGCTAGCACTGCTCTGCCCAGCCGTCCGGCCGCCAGCACCCGCTCCACGAAGGCGTCCAGGACCGGCGCCGCCACGCACGGGCTGCGCTGCAGCAGCTGCTCCCGCAGCACCCCCAGCTCTGCACGCAGCCGGGCTTCGTGCGGCCCCTCCAGCCGCGCCACCAGCAGCGCGCCCAGCACCAGGTAGACGGCGTAGGCGGCCAGGGCGCCGGCCAGGAGCGCACCCCGCCGCATGGTGCCCGCAGCGCCCCGCCCCCCGCACTGCCCCGCAGCGCCCGCTGACGTGGCCCCCGCCGGCCCACCGTCCGCTTTCAGTTCCGGGAGTTCCAGGCACTGCCACCGACGCCCCGAAGAGGAAGAGGAAAAAGGGGAGGAGCGGGGCTGGCGGAACGCCCCGCCGCTGGGAAACTGAGGCACGCCCTAACACCTGGTGCAGGACCGGCCTGGGGAGGGTGGAGCCCAACTGGATGGGAAGAATTCTTCCCGGCCTGACTTTCCTGACAACTTTCTCTCCCTCCCCGAAGCAGCAGCTCTCTAACTTAGAAACTGAACTCTCCTCGGATGTGGTGGCTTGTGCGGGTACTCTCATCACTGGGGAGGCTGAGGCAGGAGGATTGCTGCGAGTTCCAGGGCAGCCTGGGCTACAGAGTGATGGGGCCTGAGGGTACTTGCCTAAATGTGCTTGGTTGAGTTCCAGCCCCAGGGAATAGGATCGTCGCTGAGGCACAGGGATAAGGAGGATTGGAAAGGACTGATCTCTAGAGAGGGGACGTCATTGAAAGGGATAGCAAGACCCTGCCTCAATAAGCTAATAAATAGCTGGGTGTGGTAGTGCACACCTTTAATTCCAGCACTCGGGAGGCAGAGGCCATGCCAGCCAGGGCTACACAGTGAGGATGTGGAGAGAGAGAGAGAGAGAGAGAGAGAGAGAGAGAGAGAGAGAGAGAGAGAATTCTGCTTTCCTCCCCTCTACAGTCCTCAGTGCCCTCCCTACAGCCTTATGGAGAGCAGACCAGAATTCTGACCACATCAGACCCACAACCCAAATATGTGGAACTGGTTCTATTTATAAAATTGGTATTTCCTGGGACAGAGCCCAATTTGGAGCCGATAATCTATAGGAAGAGACGCCTAATGATAAAAACAGTAACAGTAGCAGCCAGTGTTCTAGGGTTTCGGAGTTTATACCAGGCCCTTGGACACATACATTTTCATTGAGTCCTCAGTCCTCCCACACAATTCCCATTAAACAGATGAGAAAATTAAGGCTTAAAAACAGAATGCAGGGTCAGGCATGGTGGCACACGCCTTTGATCACAGAACTCCGGAGGCAGAGACAGGTGGATTTCTGTGAGATCAAGGCCAGGCTGGTCTACATAGCAAGTTTCAGGCCAGCGGGGGCTACTGTTTTTTGCAAAAACAAAACAAAACAAAACAAAAACCAGAATGCAGTGGGGCATGGTGGCACAAGCCTTTAATCTCAGCACTCCGAAGCAGAGGCAAGCAGATCTCTGTAAATTTAAGGCCAGCCAGGTCTACATAGCCAGCACATAGCAAATTCCAGGCCAGGGGGGAGAGGAGGGGCTGCTAAAGGGAGATCCTGTTCCAAAAAAAAAGCTAGACTGCAAAGTGGGGCTGGAGGATTCGTGCAGAGATTAAGAGTACTGGCTGCTCTTGCAGTTGAAGTCCCAACACCCACATGGTGTCTAACAACTGTCAGTAACTCCAATTTCAAGGGATCCAAAGCCCTCTTCTGGCCTCCACTGGCATTGGCCAACATGGAGGCAATACACTCATACACATAAAAAAATTAAAATAGGGCCGGGTGGCACACGCCTTTAATCCCACCACTTGGGAGGCAGAGGCAGGCGGATCTCTATGAGTTCAAGGCCAGCCTGGTCTACATAGTGAGTTCCAGGACAGCTGGGGCTACAGGGAGACCCTGTCTCAAAAAGACCAAAAAAAAATTAAAATAATAAATCTAAGGAGTTATACAGATGGTTCAGCGGTTAAGAGCACTGACTGTTCTTTCAGAAGACCTGAGTTTGAATCCCAGGACTCACATGACAACTAGCAACTCTCTGAAACTCCAGTTTCAGGGGATCCAACACCCTCTTCTGACCTCTGTGGGTACCTCATGACATGGGTGCACATGCAGGCAATACACTTACACACATAAAATAAAAATAAAGTTTACGTGGAAAGATTGCATGTATGTTCTTAAAAATATTTTATTTTTTAAATTTATTTTACGTGTATGAGTGTATTGTCTGTATGTATGTAGGTGCACCCATGTTGTGCAATGCCCATGAAGGTCAGAAGAGGGCATTGGATCTTCTGGAACTGGAGTTATGGGTGGTTTTTAGCTGCCATATGGGTGCTGGGAACTGAACCTAGATCCTAGATTCAAGAACAGCCAGTAGTCTTAACCACTGAGCCTTCTCTCCAGCCCCAAGATTGCATATATGTTATATACAAACACTACACTTAAAATATTTTATGTGTATGAGTTGCCTACATGTGTGTAAGTCCACCATGTGCATATAGCGCCCACAGAGGTGAGAAAAGGGTGTTGAATCCTTTGGAACTGGAGGTACAAATGGTTGTGAACCACCACGTGGATGCTGGAAACAAAACATGGGTCCTTTGTAAGAGCAGACAGTGCTCTTAACCACTGAGTCATCTCTCTAGTCCCTGCACTTTGTTTTTGGAGACATGTTATGAAGCCCAAACTGGGCCCTGAACTCTTGATTCTCTTGCCTTAGTGTATGGAGTGCTTGGTACCACCATGCCCTGTAACATTACACCACTTTATTTTGTCTTTTTTTTTTTTTTTTTTTTTTGAGACAGGGTCTCATGTAGCCCAGGATGGCCTTGAACTTAATATGTAATGGAAGATGACCTTGAACTCCTGGTCCTCCTGCCTCCACCTTCCAAGTTGCTGGGATTACACATGTTTACTAATAGACCTAGCTGTACTTTTTTATATAAAGGACTTGAACATTTGAGGATTTGGGCAGAAGTCCGGTTATCCATCTTCAACAGATGCCTAAGAATCACTATATTCACATAAGAGACCAGCAGGAAGACAAAAATGTCTGCTTTATTACTGAAAAATTGTTCCAAATGAGATGAATCTAGATAAGATGTAGGGCTGAGGAGGAGGAGAAAATGGAGGTTGAACACAGAGGTGAAAAGAAATGGGGTCTCTCACAAGAAAAGACCAGCACTGAGGTAGGGCTCCTCACTGAGGAGCCAAGAAACAATAGTTCAGAGGAGGAAGGGGAAGCCACAAATGACAGGGTCACTTGCCGACCTCTCTCTGGAGGGTTATCACTTCCCAGAAATCATTTCTACCCATTCTCTTTGCCTTCAATAAGGAGAGAAGGGCAGAAAGGGGCCAGTCATGCGGCATAGTGTGCACAATTGTAATTGGTGAACTTGGGAGGAAAATCAGGAGTTCAAGGTCATCTTTGGCTACATAGTGAGTTCAAAGCCTGGCTGTATTATATGAGACCCTATCTCAAAAGAAGGGGGTAGGGGCAGGTTGAGGAGGAGAGAACAGGGACACTGAGGGACAGAGAGAGGAAAGTTAGTTTTCAGGGCTGTATACGTGAAGATGCATGCACCCTGTGCCCTCAGTGGCTGAGATTGCGTGAAGAATGTTTTCAGTGAGTGCCCGGTGTAATGACACATGCCTTTAATTCCAGAACTCAGGAGGCAGGGGCAGGAAGATGTCTGTCAGATCCTGTCTAAAACAAACAAATGGTGCTGGAAGGATAGGATGGCCCAGCTATTTAGAGCACTAGCTGCCCACACTGCTGTTAACAGCCTTTCTGTTCCAGGGGATCTGATGCCCTTTTCTGGCCTCCACAGGCATTGTATGACACAGATGCACTTACATGCAAGCAGGCAACATACATATACATATATATAATATATATATAAGTTTATTTATATATATATATATAATATTCAAAACAGGCCAGGCATGG